TACTTTGCAACTCGACGAGTACAGCCGCTAATATAACAGTCGTATTAAATATTTCCGTTTAGTTCGAAACGAACGTCCGATCGCAATCAGACATTCCACGTCTGCCCGACAAAGCATCGTGTTAATATTAATAACAATAATTATTTATTATTATTATTATTATTATTATTATTATTACTGTCAGCATTACGCGGCGAATCCATTAGAGAAGCCCCAAGTCTTCCCCCTAGTAGAATATTAAAATCGCATCGATCGTCTGATTTTTGGAAAAATGGCATAATCGAACGGGCCTATCTCGTCGATTTCATCGAATTTCCTACCCTCTGGCGATTTATTATAAACGGTCGTAATTTTTTCCTCTTCCCCACCGACAGCGAATGTGATGCGGTGGGACGGGGGTTGTGCATTTATATGTATATACATTTATATAAATATGGACCGTGCAATCGTCACAGGACCGGTGGCAGCCGCGTTAGTGTGCGCGTATGTATTATAATAGCCGTATTCGGTGCACGTATTCGCGTATTTACCATTTCGATTATAATGAACATTTATAATATATTATATTATGTATACGTATATATTTTTCTGTCACCGGTTTCCGCAGAACCCCACAAAATTCGGATTTCTCCCCGAACCCGATGCGGTACAACGTGTTATTATCCTCCGTCCGCGTTTGTCGCCAAACACCGCGGACCGAGGGCTGTTGCGAAAAAAAAAATACGAAAATACACGTATATACATAAATAATATCAATAATAATCTCTTTCTCTTGGTCTCTCTCTCGCTCTTTCTCTCGGTCTCTCTCTCTCTCTCTCTCTCTCTCTCTCTCTTTCGCCAACACAACGGTTACAAATTATATATATTATATGCAATACTCACGCCGAATAGAGATGACAACGAACGTATATAATATCATCATAATGCGAACACGCATAACGCTGTCTAATCGCTCTACTAGTCGGACTGCGATTTCAAGCACATTTTACACGGTGATCGCAAAACCGAATATTCCGTGTGTACCGATATTTATCGTCATGTGACTTCGAGAGCACGTGTGTGTGTGTGTGTGTGTGTTTGGGCGCGCTTAATTCGAATTTTACGAGCGTGGAAATTCGCGTGACGACTTCGAACACATGATTCGGATTCACCACACGCGTGCTTGTGTGTGTATACGACTTTATTTGCTTCGAACCGTAAATAACAATATAAATACATTATAATAATATACATTACTAATATTTTCGCCGGACATGGATGTGGATGTGATTATTATCGTAACGGCATGAGGATAAACGTGTACAGAATTGCATCACACACTTTTCATAAAATATCATAATTCATGATATATGATATAATTTAGTAGTACCGCAAGTTCTCGCGATGTGATGCTGTTTATGAAATAAACAAGGAAAAAGCAAGAAAAAATGTTCAGAAAAAGCGAATATTTGCAGCTTATCGTTCGATAATATACTATAAGTAATTCACCGGGCACTATCAACCCTATTTTTCTTTGAATAAAAAATATAATATTTCAAATATTCAAAAAATGCTAGACACGCGATCATATTTTTTTCAAGTTACAATCATGACCGATCTCTTGAGGAATGAAATAAGTTCTTAGCGTTTAGAGGATTTAGTCCTAGAGTGTGGCAGATTTCTTTTGATACATAGAATTGGCAGTGATTATGTTAGAATAATATTGTTGGCAATCGAAGATGATATTGTGTTAACAGTTAGAAAAAAGCCCCACATCAGTCACATAATTGAAGTTTTGAAGTTCATCATAACTTATCAGGAAGTTATGCGTTAAATGTGTATGTCCAATTAAAAGTCGATTAATTATGGTTTCTTCATTTTTCCAAGTTCAGGATTATGCCATAGGTTGATATTGTTTTTTATTTTGTTAAGTTTGGTTTTAAAATTTCACTTGTACGAGTGTCATTTATTGTCAATAATGTGCGAGTAAAATAATTGTGTTTTTCGCATCCTTGTTTACTAAGGTATTTTATTATTGACATTGAAAGGATAGAATTGTGTGCTTAATTAAAAGGATCGCATTATGTACTTCTTAGTTAACTCGTTCATTTCTGGGAATACTTACATGCCCTGAAATTCATATGAATTGAATTAATTTCAATTTTTTTCTTGATAAGACGGTTTCTTCTTAGATCATCTTTGTTATATCAGTTTCTGTGTATTTGTGATACCAATTAAATTTCTGAATGAGCCACTAAGTATTATATAAATGTTTTGGGTGTTTGCATATTTTGTGTGGGTATATTCTACAGCTTCTTAAATTGTCATCGCTTCTAATGTATAACAAATTATCATATCCTTATAAAATGGTCGGTTTTCTAGTTGTTACTTGTATGAATGAAAACCGAACACGGGTGATATTATAATAATTAAATAATTTCGTTTTTCATGCATTTCAATGTTCACCCTCTCATAAATTAGATAGGGAGATTAAAATGAGTAATACAAGTAGGTATCGTTTGTTGATATTTGTGCGTACAAAATACAAACGATTTTCAATGCCATCTATTTATTTACTTATTTACATTGGGTATCATATTGTTTAAGTACGAACCACTCGCACGAATACCCTCGATTGAATTGTACCAATTGTTGGTAATTAAATTATGCTAATTTTAAACCTAGTTCAAATTTCTATTCAAACATTTTCACATTGTGTATTCAATAATGGATTTTAAATATGATAAGAAAACAAATATCGAGTAAATATTCTGGCACCTGATAAGTTTCATATTGTATTGATGTGATATAATTATGCATTGTGATAGTACAATATCGATACAACTAACCTAATGGTTTATAGTTTTTTTAATTACACCTAGTGACTGCTAAAAATGTTGTAAAAATAATTTATGTAAAAACTAGCAAGAGAACGCCGTTTATTAGACAGAAAGTTATAACAAAGACAAGTTTCTAAAAATTTGTGAAAATGAAATTCAAAACAATGTACAGATAAAAATGTATACTCAAAATAAAAATAGTATTGTAAACATTGATTGACGATACCTATTTTATTTTAATTTATTTTAAGAAAACACTTCGATTATCTTTAATGAAAAATCAATTTAAATATTAAATACACAATATTATAAGCAATTAAAATTATACTTAAGAAAATCTATGTTATTAGTTGAAGTATTTTATAAAAATATACCTATTTATTTTAATATTTTATTGTTTGATCCTTTCATGGTATAATAAACATAAAGTAGGTAATAGTGTTATGGATGAAAATACTTTAAATATCTTAATAAAATACTTCATTCAAAATCAAATTTATAATGCGATTATAATACATAATAACGGCGAAGTCATTATTATAACTCAATAAAAATAAATATTTTTTATAAGGATTCTTCCCTCACATTTTTCTTTATGCTTATTTTTTTCTTACAACGAATATTTGTTTTGTATGCTAGGGCACAGATTATATATTTATTTTTTATAAAAGTTAAAGTTATGTTAAATGAAATTTTACAAAATCTGGTCACTATATCCTTCTGGACTTTAAAAGATAATAAATTTTAAAAAAATAACCTAATTATTATATTTTATTTTATATTCTGATGGAGAATAGCTTTTTTTAAACTAAGTAATATGAAATAAAATAAAAAAAAAAAAATAATAATATCTTTGTTACAATATGTTAAAATATTATTTTAATAAAAATAATTCTTTATATTATCAAGTCTTTCTATTTATGTTTTTGTATTATTAAAGTATTACTTTTTAATGTTATGAAAACATCACACTTCCATAATAATTGTCTATAAAAATCATTTTACATGAAAAAGAATTGTATACAACAATATTTTCTGTTTCCTAACATTTTTATTATTTTGATATTATTAACATAAAAACATTATTATTTATTATTATTTTTTTTTTAATTCTTTCATTTTCTTTTTTTCTTTAATTTTTAACTGATTTTATTATACAATATAATCTAGTAATTACGTAACAACTAACAATAATATTAATATAGTATCTAAAAGTATTATATTTATAGCATTTAAATAATATATTATATCAATTTAAGATTTAAAATGTCTTTAATATTGCCTATATAAAATCCTCGAAAATCGAATATGTGATGTTTGTATTATATTAGTTTGGAAAATTGATTTATATTATAAGCTGGAACGCCGTGCTGGTTAGATTACTAATACGACACTTGATATAACTGTTGCGTTACGTTCTCCTAAACTTCAATATTGTTACAAATTACCATTATCTTAAAATATAATACATCAACTAAATGCAATATTTATATTTATTCTATTATGGAATTTAAAACGTGGTTCAAATATTCAAACGTAAGACAAATATGCTTTTAAATAAAATTCGTTTATTTTCCACTTTCCAGGCTATATACCTATTTATTATTTAAACGTTCAAACATCTTAATAATGTCATAATTTATTATCTGTTTTAGTAACACTAAAAGTTGTTAAGTTTTAACAATCAAAGTATTTAAAAATAAAAAAAAAACCATAATATTGAGTTTTAATTCAATGTTTTGTGAGCCTAAGATTAATAAGATGGAGTCCAATTTGGGTGTACAAAACGCTATTATTTCTATGTATTATTTTTTTATTCAAAATACTTTATCATGTAATTGTATTGTTTCTTTTATGAACAATTTTATTGATTATTTAAGAATAACAATATTATAACTAACTAAAATAATAATAAACAATATAATGTGAAATTAAAAAATATTAAAAAGCATTCTAAATTCTAATGCAATATTATATAACGTTAACTTATCAATATGAAACAAAATCAATTTAAATTTATTTTTTATCTATCTTAAAGCGTTTAGAATATCTAAGTTTCATTAAAATGTTGACAAAAAAAGATAATAATTAATAATAATTGTATTTTCTGTATTTTATAAGTATGTATATGTATTTAATTTTTAAAGACAATAATTTTGAACTTTGAGAAAACCAGTAACCACTCCAACAATATATAGCTGTACTCCATTGGCGAAGAATGCGTACATCATATTCGGCCGCCAAAAAACTAAAACAATTCACAACCGACACTGAGTAATGTTACTCATTTGACTGAAATAACAATAATAATTATAAAGTGGCAGTGGTCGTTGTGGTGTTTATAAAAATGCTCACATAGAAGTAAAGTAGGTACCTCATTCGTTTCAAATAGTTTATTAACCCATTCGTATAAAATATTTTATATTTGTTCTACCAACGGGATGATATTATGGTGACGATGATAATGTTATACGGTAACAAGTGACACATTAATAATACGTTCATTTCGATCTCTGATGTTCACCATATCCCTAGATGGTACATGAGAAAGAGCGTCATGTGGTCATCGGTATTCTTGTTCGGCAGGAGGCTGATGATATTACTATATCTACTACTGCAACTGCAGGCGTATCACGGTAGGTGTGACATTGGAACAGAACATTGTTGTGTGTAGTGGTAATAATTTGGCCAAAAAAGGAGGTTAAGTGTATTGGTACTTTTTGATATCCTAAATCCTCGATTATATTTTTTTACAACATTTAAATCAGACGTGGATCTAGAAAGTGAGCCAAGTGGGCCCGGGCCCACCCAAAATTTTCAAAAACAATAATTTTAATTTTTAATATTGGCATTCAAGTTGTTATTTTAGAATTTTTATTAGTATATTAATCAAATAGGTTGGTTTTATTTTATTTTTTAGCTATTTATTAAGGCATGCCTATATTTTATTTTAATGGCAGTGAAGAGTTAGTACAAAACCCAGACGAAGTTTTAAATTAATTTGCACATAATAAGTTGAGATTACATTTTTCACGTAGGTAATTGTATTTCAATATTTTTCATTTTTTTTTTTTTTTTACTATTATTAGTACTGGACTATTTGTTGAAATATTTATGACTAGATGAAAATTATTTTTAATTAAATCATAATTTTACTGTATTATCTTTTGTGGTTAAATTTACGGCCCACTCAAAAAAATATTCCTGGATTCGTGCCTGATTTAAATCTTGTTTTTCACAAATAGATTTTTAATGATTCTTGCACAAAATTAAAATTGATCTCACACATTTTATCCGACATTCGTTATGTATTAAAAAAAAAAAATCTCTTATTCTATTACAACAAGCCACAACCGTCACGTGATTATTTATCAAATTTAATAGTTTATAATTATATTTTTGATACACATCGTTTAATTAATACTTAATACTTAATAGTATGAAATAATGTGCACAAATATAGAATATTTTTAAACAAACTTATCACCAAGTTATATCAATGAAATTCATAATTATTATTATTATTATTCCGAATTAAATATGCTGTATCTTATAATAATCCAGAGTTCAATTAAATAAATACCTACAGTTATTAAAAATAAGCCCCGAGCTCCTGGATTTAATAGTTTAATAATGTAAAATTAAAATGTTACAAAATTAAAAACTATTTATAACTTACTATATTTTGGATGTGATACTCAGGACTAACTCAGGTCCGATCAATGCACTACATCCCGTATCCACAACAAAATACATTCATTGACACTACAGGTAAATAAAAATATATACTTATACTTCGCAGTATACCTAGTATAAATTAGTTTCAATATTTCTTAATAATTAATTTTGGTTTTATTTTTAATGATAAATTCAGTGATGGAGCCACGTACAGGATATTTTTGTAATAACGGGATATGGATAGAGTCGAAAAAAGTTCGACAACGACGCCGTCACAAGGAGTTCGTGCATAGAGTTCAAAAGAAATGTGAGTAAATTAGTAATATTATGGACTTAAGATGGATATGAGTGAACCTTATATAACAATAATATATTTAAATTAGAACATTTATTTTTGTCTATGGACTACCTACCGTATACCCTCATTGACTCTATTGTTATAAGTATTATTATTTTTTATGAATTTTCATATTATAATACTACCATGTAAATGGTATTGTATTTATTATTTTATTGTACAACGCTCTCAAGCTAAACATATACAAGTTAATTTACCCAATGATGATGAAAATGGTGTAATCATTGTAAACTGAACTCAAAACACTTACACGTGTAATTGTGTTAAGTATTTATTTATCGAATTTCGTAAATTCAATGAAATCTAACCTAACTCGACTGAAACAGTGTATAATATATAAATAATATGCACGCGAGCTTATAGCGGTTTGGCGCTGCTGAGTAAGGGCTCTTTCACACAAGACCCTTTCACTCGTAGCAATGCCACTTTCAGACTCGCATTATGGGAGCGAAGCCAACCACCGTCATCGTTTTTAGCGTATCGGATTAATGGTAGTGGTCGAGTGTTAGACTATCAATATATTCACGGTTTTTTCCATTAGAAGCACTTCTCGTGTCAAAGAACACTATGAACTATTATTTCATATAATACTAGTCTCACCTTTACCTGTTTTTATATCAAATTTCATCTTCAGTCAATCAGCAATATTAATTAAAATAAGGATTTAGAAAATCATAGAAATGAATAATAGTTTGAAAAAAACTTGTAAATTAAACTCGTAGGGTCATAAAGATGAACTAGGTGGTGTATGGATTAAGTCATGTATCATTAGTTTATTATTAATCAAGCTATGGTATTCGCAGACTAAGTAAATCTTGATAGAATCGTACAATTTAGAGGGTCCCTTTTCGAGAATACTATACTTACTAGGTATAATATATTTAATTTTGTTACTACGTTATAACAGCCAACAGTTATCCAGTGGTTCAACAAAATTTAATACCATGTATAATAATTAATATGCATATAGTATAGCTTAAAAATGTGTATATAACTTGAAAACTATTAACATAAGACATGACTAATACTTGAAAAAAAATTCAAAATTAATTTTAGGAAAACGTAAAACCATTCAATAGAAACACATTTAAATGAAAAGACCTATCAACGATAATATCTGGACAAATTTTTTTTTCCATAAATATATTGTCCATTAATTATTTCGTGCTTTCTTGGCACGTGAAAATGTACGTAATATATAGAAGTACCCATTTCAATACGAGATAGAACGATGCTTATACGAGTTTTTGTATGAGCTCTTTAAAATATTAGTTTTTTTTTTTGCACTTTTTGCATACAAAAATAATGAATACATAATTTCTTACAACCTAAACATGAATACGTACTAAGATATACATATAATGTATATTCTATTAAATTAAAACCCTATGGAACCAGGTGCTGAACAATCGCTCAAGTGCGCGTAGCAATCGCCATCCCATAAAAATATATTTTATTTTAATAATTATACGATGCCATTTTTGTAATAATTATAGCGCGTGGAATTTGTTCTTGACATGTTAATAATGTGAGTTCGGCGAAACATGCTTAGATACTCGCATGTATAATAATAATATTTACTGTAGATTCGAATAGGATTAGGTTGGTTGTTACACGCAGGACCCAAAAAACGTTCATAAGAACCGCATAACTATTCGCAAAAGATTTACTCTCACGGCTATTTTTGCTTGTCGAAACTGTCAGCGAACACGAACACGGATTTATGTAGCAATATGTATAATGATCATTAATTGTCTTGCTTTTTTTTGTGGCGAATGAATAAACAACATAATTTGACCATCGCCATACTTGCACATAAAATAATTACTTATTATAGTAATGGTTATAAAATAGTGAATTTTTAATAATTTATTGTAAATTATGTACATGTGTTGTTATTATAGTTACTTCTTATTTTAAAATTTAAGCACTAGATAAGAGAAAAGCAAGAAATTGCTTGAATTTATATGCATCAAGTTTAGTTTTTATTTATTATCCGGAGTGATTATATACCGATATCAATTTTAAAAATATTTGCGTATTGTGAGTACACCCGGCTGAAGAAAAACTTCTTTCGAAGAAATCAAATTGATAATAAAAAAAATCACGACATTTTAGATATGAATACCGGTGAATAATAATAATACTTACTGCTGCCATGATAATATTTTTTATTGTTATGATTTTGTGATGTGAGCAATTTGTCGTAAGAATTTTGTCTTTTTTTGTGTCTTTACCCTTTCCATGAGGTAGACTCACTTAAAAAATACTAAAAATAAAATAATATTATAAATTATTTATGGTTTATTTCGACCCGATAATTATAATAACTTCCTATTATAAATCGGGGTATATTTTAAATAGTTGTATTCTATAATTAGTTATTATTACTATTATTGTACAACGCAATTCTTCCATCACTTACACTTAAAAACCAAGAAATCTTAATGATTAATGATCATAATACTATTAATATACTAATGTTTTTATATTACATTAACAATAATATTGCCAGAGAAATATTCTGTTTTAGCGTATGAAATTAAAATTATAAATATAAATTTTAAACAATTGAACTGTATAAGAAATAGTAAAAAAATATAATTTTTCTCAAAACGACTTGTAATTATGTATGCATAAAATAAAATAAAAATTATCTGAGAAAATTACTGTTGAAATATATATATATATAAATGCATTATTAACGAATAGCCCAATACAAGTTTAATATCACCTGCAACATTGACCGTGATGCAATCTTCGGTCGATTTCATGTTATACGCGCATATTATATCTATATATCTATAAATTACGCGTCTTTATAAGACGTATATTATAATATACAGTCTGGAAAGAAATTATTATTAATACAACATTATCATTATTAATATTATATTATATATAGGTACTCGGCGTCCGTGCCGTTTTGTGTCGGGCCGGCCTACACACGGCACAGAGCCATTTACGAAACGATGCCACGAAACCGGAAGATCTCGACCGAGGAGTTTTTCGTTCTCTTTTCTTTTTCTCCATACGACGGTGGTAATGATATCATTATATTCTATGCCCACGCCCGTCCATCCAGCGTGTGTGCATTACGGTGCACATTTCGTATTATTATGCTCCGATCAACCTATCCGCTATACAGCTCGCGCGCAAACATATTATGGTCTTCGGGCCACGGCGTGTGATGATCATATTATTATATTCTATTGAATCTGTTTCAGTCCAGATCGACCAAATAATTGGGTGCGCCCAGTGCAATACGTGTTAACACAATACCAGCTAAATAATATTTATTATTATTGAAATTCCATATAATATGGTAAACGGCGGTCTTGGTGGAGTACCCAAACTTTGAATACTGTAATTATTTTAAATTCAATGTTTTGAAACTATCGATATTATTACATTTTGATTTTTGACTATCTCAAATTTTGAATGATACAACAATGTCAAATATTGATTGAGCACTTAACACTACGAACAAGCCATAATTACGTTTGTACTCGTCACATTTATATTGCAGCGCATAATATTTTTCAAAGGTCAGAATTATACAACGAAGACGAGATACTCGTATACTAAAATTTACGAGTTTAATTAAAAAATAAAAAACTTATTAAATATTAATACTACGAGAGTAGTGTACGTACACGAAATGAAATATTTAGCAGCAGTAGGCCGCATAGGAAATAAAATAACACCCATTTAAAATATAGATTTTCAGGTATCATAACCTTTGTTATTCTGCAATTTAACACATTTGCATTTTTGTTTTCTTCTTGGTATAAATATAAAATTCTAGCGTACAAATTGTTTTTGAATATTTTAAGTTCTCAGTGTAAAACTACATAACTTCTTCTAAAATTCTAATTTAGATAAAAGTAAATATTTTTCTTATTTTAATAATCTAAATTAAACTGGCTAAGTTCAAAAAAAATTATATTATATTATTTTAAAAGATGTACTTTTTTTATTTATACATTAAAGATAATTTAAAACTTTTTTTTTTATAACAATTCAATATTATTTTTAAATATTTCTGAAAAAAAAATAATCGGCTTTTAAAAATATATTTTTTAATATAGTTTATCAATTTTCATTGTATTAATGAGTGGTTTATTTAACAGCAATTTAGAGTATCAATTAAATTCATAGAATTGATGCTCTGAAATCATACATAATATACTCTTTCTCTTTCTCTCTCCGGTATATGTACTCATTCTACTAGTCTATACTGTATAAAATTCACACATCATTTTTCCGTATTTACCCAAAAATAAATCAACATTATTTATAATTAACTTGATATTGTTTAAAAGTGTTATTTATTTTTTTTTTATCAGTTTGTAAACAAATTTTGAATTCCATCAAGATGCGACTACGTATTAAAAAGTTCAACATAGATAATCCATGCAATGACTAAAATTAAACCGTTCAAGAAATGAATGTTTATTTATACATACAAAAACTAATTTTGTACGTAATAATATTTTACAGCACAGTATCTATAAGTATAATATATTTCACGTCTATTTGACGCCTTTAAAATACACATTATAATTTTTAATTATATAAGTACTCACAAAAATTATGTACAAAAATATAAACAAAAATAACAATATTTAAATGTATTATATTTCTTTAAATTTATGGTATACAAAATAAAAGTAAAATTTGAACTATTGTATAAAGTATATTATGTCAACTATGCACACACCATTTTACAGAGTGTTACAGTAAGGTAACCATTGCACATTTATGTTCAAATCAACGTGTCGTAATGTATAATACTATATGTATTATAATTTATAGATATAAGGTGCCTACATACTGAAATTAGTTATTCTGTTACAGAATTTCTAACTCGTTACACATAATGCATAATACCACCACGTTAAAGCATAAAAATCACTTAATGAAGTACCAGATACGTGCGAACAAAACGTATATTTTAAAGAGTGAAAAATTTTAAGTGATCACTGTAATTCACCTAGACACGTTGTTTTAAAGTTTTAGATTATTGAATCTCATTACATTTTTTTAACATACTTATTCATTGCACCGATTATGCGTGTTTCTAAATAAACATTAAGCTTAGTAAAATCTACAAAAATCAAATAAAAAGTTCAATATGCATTCAAAATCGTTCGAGTTAAGGCAGAAATTAAAAATGTATTGATTAAAAACATAAATCATTTATATCGAACAGTATTGTTAAATATTTATATAGACAGTGGACGCTTATTTATTAACCCATTTGAATGATATTTATTTCTACTTATAAAACACGAATGCATAAAATATATTATTTATGTTATAGGAAATAAAAATATACAATTGTGGACACAACAAGTGGCTTTCGTGCTTAATACAATAACAAATAATTATAAATATTAATTTCAGCTGATTTTCGTTTTTATACAATTTCTATATTTTTTAAAAAACTAAAACAGTTTTATGCGATTTTCACGATTATTCGTCGAATTTAATGGACAAAACATAGTTAGGTCTTAACGCAATATCAATATGAGCACGTATGACATATATACTGCATGGTCAAAACAATTTTATTTATAAATAATTATAATATTTACATAATATTATATATATAATGTGTATACTTAAAAAATAATCAGGAAACCTTGACTTAACCAACAATTTTTTTGATAATCAAACGCTTGATTATATATTATAATCTATCGTTTTGATATTTTATAATTAATAACAATAATTAAAAAAAAATTAATGTAAATTATAATGTTTTAAAAATCATGAACACCTAATTCAAAGTTCTTAACACTCATTCTAATAACATATGCATATAATTAAAATAGCATTAATCGTGAAGAAAATGTGTATGTGTTTTATTTAATATACATAGTATCTAATTAGTAAATAATTAAAAACACTAAGCGATCTTTGTCATAATTATGTAGCCCGAATTTGAACGCAACCATGATATAAAATATTTACTTTTCAACTAAATTTATAGTTAGCATATTACTTTTACAAAATTACCCTTCTCTAATTTGTAGTATTGGTACAAAGCACCATGGAAATGGGTAATATACTGCAGCAAACATATCTAGTAAAATGAATAATAATAGTCATAAATATTAATAATCAATCTGCATTGAACATTTTAGTATTTTACTTTTTAATCGTATGTTGTTGAATACATAAAAAAATAAAATTAAAAAAAAACACAACCATATTTTATATTATTGAACTGCTACAACTGGTTGCAATTAAACGCATAAGTGATCGATGATTTGAGGAATTCAAAGTAACAATCGTAATTCTGATAAAAAATTGAATAAATCATCTTTTATTTGGTGATTTATATGTGTGATACAACAACACCCTACGAAATCCGCAGCTGGATAGGTACACGTAACTTACAAGTTAGTGGTCATTCGAGATTTATTGTTTGACTTGTACCTAGTCGTAAAAATATTACTCATAGGGTTAGCCGATTTGACAATCATATTTTACGAGAAGTTTTAATTTTTATTAGCATGCAATAATAATAATATATAAACTGAACGCAAAAATAATTTATAAAAAAAAAAAAATGTCTTGCTTAAGAAACTTTCTCATTTTAAGTGGAATATGCGAAACTCAATACTAATTTTGTATGAACTTCGTAATTTATATGTATATCTAATATGAGCGATTGCCCATAAACAGTTAAAACAATCTAAACGGCCATTATTTACACTTAACCTGAAAACAAATAGGTATAGTTTGTAACAATATCGATTACTCTTTACGATTTTCAAACGAAAAAAATTTAACCGATCAACTAAACACTTTTACCTAATTATAACAAAATGAATGGATGATGTCTATAATCGGTCAAAGTATATAGAAAATACTAAATAACAAATAATAAAAAATTCTTTTCACATCCTAAACGTACACTTTATAAAAACTTTGCGATATATTTTCATAAAGATGTGTTTAAAATAATATGTACAGTGTTACAATTTTACTCATTATATTACTGTATATTATTTTTAATATAATGCCCTTGAAGTTCATAAAATATAAAAAAGAAATTCAAACGGTATACCACTCTGCTCTACACTAAATGTCAGGGTGGATCGCTTTAATGGATTTATTAAATTTGTACTCCATGTACAGGAAATACGATTCAATTCGAATACGATCTGTTAGACTGGATATCTTATTACTAAAACTATCGTTTATTCAAACGAGTTCAAAAAAAAAAAAAAAAAACATAATAACAATATTGTTTTGATATATTGTTATTATATTAATTAGTGCATTACAAATTAAAAAAATTAACCCAAGCTCATATATTTATATATAATTTTTTTTTTTTTTTTTAACACGTTGTAAACGGTTAGGTGTCGATAACTATAATAACTATTTATTGAAACGTTAAAAAAAAACATATATATATTTTTTTTTGATTTATAATAACTCTAGTCTTCGTATATATGCGCATAATTGATGGATTAATGGTATTTTTAAAAGTATTGTTGGCCAATTGCCATACTAAAATGTTTTGAATACCACAGAATAGTATATTTTAAGTATTTTTGTTTATTAAATTGAATTATTGGTCAACATATCTGTATACGTATTATTATAATAATTCAATAATAAATATACATGATATTAATAAAATCCTTTATACAACTATGCAGTTTTAAAATAGGTATTGTTGATTTAATTATTGTAAACGATTTTTGATATTTCAAAAATATTTTGTACATTGAACTTAATTGGTCGGCAAATATGTAAGGAGAAATAAGTCAAAGTTATTAATTTTGAGGAAACAAAAAATTTATCATTTCCGAATTAACTTTAATAAGCTTATAATATTTTAGAGATAATTTGATAGCGTTAACTCCGTAAAACATTTTTTTCTACAGGATAGTGTCGTAATCTAACTAATTTACTTGTTTCCTTTTTATACCCACACTGTGCCGTCTCATTACCAAGGTACTTACTTGAATGTAAACCAAAATACTCGTTTTGAATTATATTAAATTGATCGTCCAACGAAATTAAAATAAAAATTTGTACATTTTAAAATTATTTTAACAACAAAAAAGTTTATTAAAAAAAAATAAAACGTTTTTAGGTATATATAAACTGTATTTTAAGTTTCATTTTTGAATAAAATACTCAATTATAACATTGCAATCTGCAATGCATGTATAATGGACTTATTTCAGACAAAAATTTAAAAATAATCTTTTATGTCTACGTCTGCGAGTCGTAGATCCACAGCAGTACTTTCTATACTTTGTTTCGTTGAATCTATCATCACGTATATCATCCGCTTACTCCTTATGTATACATAAACATATTGCTTACACCTAAAGGTTATCGATGCCCAGTAGAATGAATAAAACATTATTTATTCTATTTGTTGGTAAAACAACCACCGACGATTGACGTATAGATGTTTATTAAAAGATTTTTTTTTTTTGTGTAGGACTTTTGGAATAGTATAAGATAATGCTATTGGTATATCTACCGATTGGATTATTCGAGCGACGAAAGCCCGGACCAAACTAAATGCCCCTTGTTAGCTTCACGGATTCTCGACATTGGTCAGTGCAACGAGTTTATAACGTTAATCCAGTGGTTCTCTCGAGATAAGTTCGCTATAATGATATTATTTATGTTACTGTAAAACTTAACTCTGCTGGAAAACGTATTCACTTAACGCGTTATTACTGTTGTTATCTTCGTACACTCTGCCGCCTATGTACAATAATACTTGTTACCAATGTCTGACGACGGTGGATTCATGTGTGCGAACGGGATCATAATATCATACATCTATTATTTTCTTTGTACTTTATTTAACGCCCGAATATAATAATGTTATCCTCCGCAGGTAGATACTTGTTTACTGTTAGAATATTGTACACGCAAAATTACTGCAATGCCTCTCTGTCTCTTTTCATAGTATACAAAGTTTATTATACGTAACTATACAATACTGTATTATTGTAATATTGATACATAGTACCTATAATATAGTATAATCCATTGGGACTCGTCATCGTTTTCGATACCTATTTAACTATCGACATTTTGTTCGGCAAATAATATTCAATGCTATAGTTGAAACAATGTAATGAAAAGTATATTAACGTATTATTATATCAACATGTCTACAATAAGCACACGCTACTGAAACAATGAGCAGCGACACGGACACAAGTCGATTCGGCCGACCAAAATTGGTTTTCTTTTATAACTACTACTCCTTATTATAAATATCGTGAGGTATGAATGTATAACTAGATGTAACAGCTGTAATAATATTACAACATAATATTATGTGTTTTTGTCAACTAATGAAATATTGTTGATCAGTCATTTGTTCTGATCGAAATGTTATCCATTTCATACAGATTTGATAAAATAAAAATAGAAAT